ACAAGAGGGATGTGGAGCTGCTGGAGAGAGTCCAGGCAGGGCTACCAGGATGATCAGGGGCCTGGAACATCTGCCCTGTGAGCAAAGGCTGAGAGAGCTGGGTCTGTTCAGCCTGGAGAAGAGGAGGCTGAGGGGGGACCTGATCAGCGTGTATAAATACCTCAAGGGAGGCAGTGAGGAGGAGGGGGGCGGCCTCTTTTCAGTGGTGGGCAGGGATAGGACTAGAGGAAATGGCTTCAAACTGAAGCATCGGAAGTTCCACAGGAACTTAAGGAAGCATTTCTCACTGTGAGGGTGACAAAGCACTGGAACAGGCTGCCCAGAGAGGTTGTGGAGTCTCCTTCTTTGGAGATCTTTAAAACCCGCTTGGATGCAGCCCTGTGCCCCGTGCTCTAGGTGACCCTGCGTGAGCAGGGGGGTTGGACTCGATGACCTCTGAGGTCCCTTCCAACCTTGGGCATTCTATGATTCTATGTGTGATATTGTACAACAGCATGCACTGGTAATGTCAATGCCAAAGCCATTAATGCTCTGAGTGAGAGGGAACTTTGCCAATGCTCTTTGGTAGAAACTCAAGGTGTTTCTAAAACCATTTTGAACTACAAAAGAGAGAACAAAAAGAATCACCTTTCTTCTTATTGGAGAAAAAGGGTTAAGAAACTGAGTTTGTCAGAGTCTTTTAAATGTTCAGAAGTGATTTCGACTGTATGAGTGTTTTCTTCTTAAAAATACTTCATGAGTTGTATTGTTTTATTGAGCAGAATTCAGGAAATGCAAAGCAAAATAAAATTTGTAACATTCTTCTTTCAGATTGAAACTTAATATGCCAAGAACTGTCATTCACATCATAAAATCAGCTTCTTGCTGCTCTTTCTGGTGCTGCTTAGTCATATCTTTCAAAGGCCTCTGAAATTCAGGAACTTTAATGCACCTATTAGGCAGTACTGTCCTTAGTCAGCCTTGGTTAGTGTGAATAGGATTTGAGGCTTTAATAAACTTTTCTTAGTATGTAATAATATGTGACAAGTACATTATATTAATGATGTGATGACATGTTTCTTCAAGCTAATAAGCAAAATTACAGACCATTTAATAAAAGCTGTATTTAATTTAATTGAAAAAACTCACCACTCCTCGGTAGGGCTTAATATTTGGACCTATATAAGTATATTTTATCATTCCTGAGCTTAACTGTATAATGAAAATCCTTTTAAGTAAGACAGCATGTGTTTATTATTGAAGTTACAGTATTATAGCTTCTCATTTTGTTCCATGTGATCTTTGAAATGCTGCCATTCAGTTGTGAAGAGAGCTTTTTTATCTCCCCATTTTTCTCCTGATTTTTCTGGGTATTCCCTTTACTATTAAAATTGTTTGAAAAGAGAATTGTAAATAAAACATGTTTTTTTCATTCTTTCATTAAAAACATTAGGCCTAGATGTGTCTGTTACTTGTTTATGAAGACTAAACTAGAGTAACAAAGCAAGTATCCCTTCTGCTTTGTGATGTTAAGGAAAGAAGTTTTATCTTTGGTATAAATGCTAACCAAACCATCTTTGTCCTAGTTTGCTTTTGGGACAAAATTGCCTTTTGTTTCCTGTTAGTTAAAATGTTGCTACCAAAGCTGATCGTATTTGTGGATTTTTTTCAAGGCATTTGAGAGGAGTAAGTAAAAATAAGCAATGTAAATAGATCATTGTAATGTAAATAATTAGTAGATCAATACCCAGTTTTACAGTTTCTCACTATGGCAAATCCCTAAGGGTGTGTTAGACTTTCAGCAATCTCAGTTCACCTGCGTCATTTTTGAACTATTGTATTGTATTTTATATAGTTTTGTGTATTTCACAAAAATAATAATGATTTTAAAATAATAATCATCCTAGGTGTTCTGTAGAAACTTAGCATTTACTTGGTGTGCAATATTGAACAAAACTGTGGAAGATAAAATTTCTCTTTTTTTCCCCTAAATTTCAAATAAAATTTAGCATTTAGATTTTTTTACTTTCTAAATTTAATGTTAGGAAACCTAAAAATGGCTTGCATGAAACTTAACAGAGCTCCCACTTAGATGTAGTTGAGGAGAATGGAAATAGATTAGTGCTTTGGCTTCCCATACCATAGTCTCAAAGTAACTCAGCCTGTTTGTGCCAAGAAATCTCTAATTAGATTTCATGTAGAGCTCTGCAGAAGCTGCAGAGCTGCAGCTTCTGTGGTTGTGGTAGGTGTTATTTGGCACTTACCTTTAGTCTTTAACGTTAAAGAACACTAAGGTCTTCAGCTTCATGCTCTGCACATGAGGTCTAGTAAGTACCAAAAAGGTGACTAAAGAACAAGGAATGTAAAAATCTGTGTAAATCTTTCACCCTCTTACGTTTTGGTGTCTTCCTTCACCCAGTAAGTTTTGGAGAGCTCCTTGAGGGCTTCTTTGAGTCACGTTTGACCCAGATTTCTTGGAGTTTCACAGGCTGTGTTCATACATCAGGGAATTTGGAGCCCCTCTGAGATTCAGGCCCCTGTGTCTTCCATCAGTGCCTTAAACTCCTTTGCATTTCTTTTAGCTTCTCATTCTGGGCTCTGTTTTGACCTATGTGATCTGAGACAAGAAAGAACGTTCACCCTGTGTTCCAGATAGGCAATCGCCTCTGTGAGGATTTTTGTATTGTTATGTAGAATCCACATCCACATGGAAAGCACATTCACATCTGACGCTTGTGGGCTGTATGAGGGAATGCATTTGTTGCATCATGGCCCTGTAGTTTGCTCAGATTTCAGTTCAGAATGGTCCACAAAGTGTTAAATTTGCTGTACCAGAACTTGTAGGTCTAGTAGTCAGTGGAATCACCTTGGTGGAGATGGTATCATGTTGCTCTGCCATGCCACAGTGCAGGTTTTAACTTTTTTGACACTTTCATGCCACAGGTATGGTGGATCTTTTCCTACTAGCACACAGGCTGGCATCTAGACAGGTACTATCATCTATTACCCAATTTAAAATAGGAAGTTTCCAAGTATTGTTTGATGGGCACAAACTCTGCCTTTTCTAGTTTGTCCTGACCTTTAGGCTTTCATTCCTGCCTGTTCTTGGTGGCTTTCTTCCCACAAGTCCCATATTTTCATCCAGGCTGGTGAGAGACAGCTGCTGATGTGAATAACTTCCTGCAGGTGTCTTGTGTATTGCTAGTACAGCTGCCCTGTCAATGCTCGCAGCAGCAATTGCAAAATGTCTCATAGTTTCAAAACCTGAGTTCAATAGAAAGCCTTTCCTTGTGAGCGGAATTCATTGCTGTTTTCCCGAGGGGGTGAGTAACTCCCTCGAGGATTACGCAAAAAAACAAAGGCATTGCTGGGATCTCTGCTTTTCCACATCTGCAATTAGTCATTCTGAGAACATCACAGCAGAAATTTGGCTTCCGGAGCTGAACTATCATCCATCGCTCATGTTTGCACCTGGTCTGGCCTGCCCGGGGAATGCGGACAGGAATATGTGTGGGAAAACCTTTATTTACCCCTCCTATTTCAGCTGTCTTTCTCTCTCACCACTGCATTCTCCATACATCTGCCTTTGCAAACAAGTTATATGAAAATAGACAGGCTAGTTCATTAGAAATGATACCCAGGTTATTGTATCCAGATTCATATCTTTTCCTCCAGCCGTCTGCCTTGTGCTTATGACTAGAGCACAGTTTTCTTGGTGTTTCTTGAAAGTGAAGATGGTTATTTTCATGTCACATTTGAAAATATCTGTCTTTTTTTCTGCAGTGGAACAGTTACCAAGTGTTCTCTATTTGGCCTGGAAAGTTGGGGGAGTCTCTGGAATTGGTACATCCTGATCTTTTTCTGGAGTTTTACTTAGCTGGCAGCTCAAGACGTACTAACAGCTCAGCTGCTTCTAGCTGATAATCCATGAATGAGGAGGTTTTCAGCGATGTCTTCAAGACTTTTTTTCCTTTTCTTCCTGAAGCTCAGGCAGTTATAAATAAGAAGCACCAGATGCTCTATTCCAGGGCTGCCTGTGTTCGTGTTCCTACCTGATGCCTTTCTGAAAACGTGGGAAGCTGCAGTATGTCTGGAGAAGTGTAGGCAATAATAATTCTGGATGAGGGACACATGCATTCATATCCAAACCTGTAGGAATCCATTTTTGTCATCCAGGCTTCTTCATATTCTGTGGATGGCTGGGTTGCTGGATGTATGTCTCATCCCTGCTGCTGTCCTTGTTCCAGAGCAAGCCTGAAATAGGCTTCTGGTTTAGCTCCTTATGAATGTGAATGCAGCGATCTGAACTTGATTTATACCTTTACCAGCCCCAAGGCTGTTGCAGAAGTATATAGAAATAGTGATTGCTTTCAGATAACTGTGTATAGTTATCTGAAATAACTGTGTTTATTTCAGGAATAGTTTGGAAATGCCTGCAGTGCGGATGAGAGATTTTCCACCAACAGCTGGAGTACAAGCAGTATAGTTCTCACACTCTCATGTCCCATCTTCCTTCCTCTTTCCCAGTTATATCCCTTGGCTTTTGAGGAGAAGCCGATACGTTTTGATCTTGATGAAGAGTCTCCTCTGTGACTTTTGCATGTTATCCTAAAATGTCCCAGATCCAAGTGACCACGACATGTGCTTCTCTGCAATGTGAATCTGCATAGATTTTCTATGTGAATTCTGCATAGATTTTCTGTATATAAAGGAGCTCTGAGGACCCACTCTTCTGATGTCAGGAGTAGATCCCAAATCAGGGTCTTGTCATTTAAAAAAATCTAAAAGCCTCTTCTAAGCTTATGCTATATAAAAAATGCAGGTATTTTAAAATGCTATTAAGATAAACTCTCCTGCTAATGGCTTCAGAGCTTTTTTATTTATTTATTTTTTAATTGTTTCCGTTCACGTCTTCAGAGAGTTTACTCTGAAGTGCTTCTCATTTGTATGGCTGCTTTTCCACTGTGACTGAATATAGAAGCTGATTACCACGTTCATGAATTTTCTGAAGACCATGATGCTGCAGGCAGCGTTAGCATCTGCTTCCTGGCTGTTATTTATAGGTTCTGATTACTATGTTTCTAACAGCACCCATCCCTTCCTTTGATGACACTTCAAGCTTTAAATAGTTTTGCAGTCCTTTATGAAATCCGGCAGATCTTTAGAAATTTTAACTTCTTGTGCATAGCTTCACGCTAATTGTTTGGTAGTTTTCTTAGTACGGTATTTACTACTAGTTGCAACCTTTTATTTTTTTATTTCTGATAGGAAAAAAAAGAACTAGTACTTTTTTGAAAATAATAATTAAAAGATTAAATATTGTCAAATATAGCTTTGCAGAAGTTTTATTTATTCACTAAAAGTAGGGTTTTTTGTTGTTGTTGTTACTTAAAAAAACCTCCCCTCTTCTGTTTGACATTACATTTTTTTTTCTTCTCTGTATGGTATTGTTGATTACATTTAATGGAAAAAAAACACACCTGTACAATTTTATTTAATGATATTCTATATTTTTTTGACTCTGAAAGGTGATACCTTGTCTGGATAGCAAAAGAGGTCTCTGGTATTCTGCTTTACAAAAATTATTGTTCTTGTGAATCAAGATGATGCACAAAGCTCGAGTGTCAAAGCTGGTAAAAATAATGATAGTGGTAGTTTAGTTCTGGGGGGATTATAGGCAAGAAAAATGGAGTATAATTTGCATCTGAAAAGTAATCATGTAAAACTCCTCTAATATTAAATAAGACTATTGACTAGTTATTGTGAGAAATAGCTTTACTATCATGCCTACAGAAAACACATAACTGGGTTTGAACCTGGAGGGTACAGTATAGGAAGTTCAATTTCAAAGTAAATAAAGTGTTATTTTCATAGGCAAGGGTGCATGTTCTCTGTTGTTTATGTACTGGCACTCCTATTCCCAGGCTGGCAGGAGACATAAAGACCCAGGGCAAGGAGATCAGCTTCTGTGTTGCCTGATGAATGATGTTGATGCAGCAGATATTAAAGCTGCCTTTGTTTGGCAAATGATAGGCTTCAGCTGCAAGCCTGGCTCTTAGAAAACGCAGTGCAAGGGTCTGTGCTGAACTTGCCTGCTATGGTGGTGGTCCCAGTCACACCGGTTACCTAAGGTGGTCCTGGGGGATGGGGGTTTCGGGCTACTAGAAGAAACAGAGCATGGAAGTATCAATAGTAGGACCTGCACCTCCATGCCTGAAAATCAGACATGAAAACTATAATTGAATAATCTAAAAATATATATATATAAAAAAAATAAAAAAAATATAAAAAAGTATTAAAAAATAGGATTTTTAATGAGGCACAGTTCATATGAGAGGGAAGTACTTGTAAATTTAGAAAAAAAATGAATGTTTTTTAGTATTTCTTAGATTGCCTAGGCTTATGGGATTATCATTTGCAAGGCACAGATTTGCTGAAGTGATTAACTGAAGTGATATGAAATATGGCTTAGCAATAAATGCTATTGGAATAAGCCTCTTGATGTTAATATAGAATTAAGTTTATTTTTCTCTTTTCACCAAAACTTTGTCATACAGGCAGGCTTGAAATCTGGACTTTTGACATTGGATTGCTTAACACTGAAATTGTTTTATATTCCCTGTTGCAAATGCAGCCCTTCCTTCCATTTATGAACCTACTGTTGTGCCAAATAATTTGCTTCTGTATTGGTGCTGACAACTACCAGCTTTGAGAGAACAACCTTTACACAGATTCTTTTGTTATGCCTTCCAAAGAGGAGAAATGAATTGTATTGAAGACGGTTCCCTCTCCTTCAAGGATCTCGGGTGTTGTGGTCTGTGCAAGCAGATGGTACCTTCGTGCTAGCAGTCACCTAGTTGGTCCAGATCTTCCAGCTTGATGGAGTCGCTAGAGTTTTAGCTGGCACGTGGCTCGTGTGACCCCGGGAAGTGGAGCCCTCTGATCCCTGGTCCCTCTCCAGCTGATGGTACCTGTTGTTACTCGGTCCGGTGCCTCTTGTTGCTGGCACTGATGTCTACAAGCCTGTGGCTTGGTCCCATTCCCAGTTACTGCCATTTAGACCTTGTGGCTCTTGCAGAGGGGGTTTAGTAAGAGGGGATGGGGCACAGGGCTTAGTTAGACAAGTTTATAGACCCACATATGGTTTCACATGGGTGGCCATTTTTAACCTTCTCACTTCTGTTTCTCCTTCCATGATCCTCACCATCCGTATTTCCACACCTTTGACTTTTCCCCTAAGCATTCACATTCCTTAGGAGGTTTTGCATAGTCCCCCTCCAATATCCATAATACTCACTCTGGTTGTTTTCCCCCTCCTTATCAGTTACAAAGTCCTCAGACCTATGCCTGTAGTTTCTTAATGGTCCATCAATTAGTATCTGAAGAGTTTTGATCTTCCTTATTATCTCCCTTGGCGCTTGCTTATCAGGTTGGTGTCTCTTGTGCGCTTCATTAATCTCTTTCCCCTTCACTTACTCTAAGTAATTCCAACTCTGATCTATTACTATATTTGAACTCAAGAGGCCATGACCTGATAACCTTACTGAACCAGATGCTTTCACATTTCACATACTGTCTTTTTTAGCTGGACCATTGAAGGCACTGATACGCTCCATGTAATTGCTGTGAGGAAGAAATGGAACTAATGGAGACATCAGACAGAGACTGTTGTGGTTTTAGATGGATGTAGCATCTGAAGTAAATAATGGATAAGACTGGTAGCAGGTTTTATGATGATGTATACATATAGGTCTTAGCAACAATAAGAGGTGTCATGAGACTCTTAATTTAAGTAATGAGGGCTCTGTTATTTTACTGAGCTGAGGACAGAAGATATTTAAGCTGTTAGAAAACTGCCTGTTATTTGTATCTCAGATTTTGATCTCTGAAAGACTTCTATTTTTTACTCCTACTGATGTGCAACAAGGAAAGAGCTTGTTTCAATCCGTTTCTTCCAAGGTGGTAGAGAAACTGGCTCTCTAGAGCTGTGATTGTTCGTAGAGAAGTTTCTTAGCTTAAACTCAATGCGTTTTAAAGAGTATAATTACATTGTGATGCTAACTAAACAGTTTGGTATGAACCTTTCTTAAAAAATGGAGGGAACTACTCTCAGGATGAAAATAACTTATCTCACTGGTTATTTAATTTTCTTAGAGCAAGTTGCTACTTCAAATCCTTTTTTAAGTGGTGCATCTTATACACCTTGAATTCCGATATATCTTTTTGTTTGCAGAATCCGGTTGTGTCCAATTCCAGCTGGTCAGAAGTAGACATACTGATTCTGGCAGGAACAGTTGGTCATGTCCTGAGTTTGGGTGCAAGCAGCTTTATAGAAGAGGAGCATCAAACCTGGTATTTTCTTATCAATACCCTTTGTTTGGCACTGTGTCAAGAGCTTTGTAGAAATCATTTTCTTCTGAAGGAAGGTGACTCTCAGCATAGCATCACTCTAAAACAAAATTTTGACAATGTCAAGGAAACCTATGAGTGCAAGAATATTGATATAACTGCACCAGATGATTCCAAGTTGGGAAAGGTCACTGCTACAGATGAATTCCTAAAAGGATCCGATAAGTGGATAAGCTTAGCAAGTCCATGGATCATCCTTATTTGTTGTCGGTTGCTTCGATCCCTCAATCAGACAGGAGTTCAATGGGCTCATCGGCCAGACTTTGGACACTGGTTGACAAGGTGGGTGGCTGATTTATTGCTTTCATAGTTACTTTCTTATTGAAAAAATAGCTTGTGTTTTGTTTTGTGAAGTCTATGTTTCTGCATGGCCCTTACAAAGTCTAGAGTGTGCTATAAACCTGCTAAGGCAGTAAGTAGTGAAGCAGTACAAGGGGTTTTTGAGAGCTCCTTTATGTGGGAGTAATTCCTTGTGTAGTGTCAATAGATTGTCATCTTAGACCCATACCATGACTTACCTAATTCGTTCTAATTAATCATGATAGGTTTATCAGACTCAAAAAGTAAATATTTTCCGTATGTAAATTAGCAGTAGCTGGTCGGGGAAATTAAAAATCATGTAAATCATCTAATAGAATTAAACCCTTAATTTTAAAATGGAGAGTTCTGTTTCTAATTCCAAACTCTATGACGTTGCAGGAGAACAAGCTCCACTTAGAATTCTTACCTGTTTATCACAGGCATTAATGTGTGGATGGAAATATGAAAGAATTTTTCAAATGTACTCTGATCAACTATTATTATCCTGAGAAAGGACATGCAATTTCTTATAGCTAGAGATACTATTGAGAAAGATTCTTATTTGGAGAAAGGCTTTCTACTCCATTTTAGTATCATAAAGATACAGTAAGTGATTAAAAAGTACTTGGGATTTCAACTGAAGACTCTATTCCTCTATTTCAGCTGATGGGTAGAGAAACAACAACTTGTAACTAGTCAGATTTTGCAGGTGGGAAGGCTGTGCTATGTATGAAGAAGAATTTTTTTTCTGTGTATCTTACAACATTTAAATGAAATGTCATCCATCATTCATTAATAGTGACATGAGGAAATGAACTAAGATGAGACTGGATATTTATTAGCAGCCTCACAGTTAAAATACTAATTGCTGTGACAGGCGTGAGTCTGAAAGATGTGAGATATGGGCAAATCTGTGGCATTTTAGTAGTTGGCATATACCAAAGTTTTTGTCATGCTTTTCACCTCTTGAGATGAGGTGAGGGGTTCAGGAAAGCATGTCATATTCCTGAAGTTAAATCTGTGTGAAAAGACTCAAAGCTAACTCAGTGCTTGTACAGTTCTATTTTACAAATGGAATTACATGTGATTTGGTGCAACTGGAAAGACTTTTTTTAAACATATACCAGGTAACTTCCAAACACTTCTTTGCCCAGTGACTTTTTGTGCCAAGTGTTGTCTTCAGCCTGTGAATTTGCAACACCTTTAAAAGAACTGCTCTGCAGTTTTGAGGATGTTCTTTTGCCTTCAATGGATATGTTTTTGCAACCTTCTCCTTGAAGCATTCTAATGCTGCAATACCGTGGAACAAAAACTCAATATTCTGACAGCTGAATAGTTGCAAGAAGAGTGTATTTATGCCTGTTGTCTCCTTGTGAACATTTACTGACGCATGGAAATGTTACCAACCTTTGAAAAATTGTGTTTGCATGGCATAGATGACATACAGTCTGTGGCTACTGTGAGTGCTTCTAGGTCTTCCTGTTTTCTCACAAAAGCATGGAAATACTGTAATTCCAGCATTAACACTCCTGCTTGTCTGGAGTTTTCAGTCGACCCACTTGGGTAAATCTAAATCCATTCAAGTAAATCTCCCCCAGGTAAAATTCTCCCACTCAAATTAAAAAAAAAAAAAAAAAAGTTGCCCCCTTCCTCTCTATTTTGAGAGACTGTAACCTTGTTAAAGGCAAGATAAACAATATTTACTGCTCTCTCTCATGCACCCAACCAATCTTCTCATCATGGAAAGCTTTCATATTGGTCAACTAGTATTTCCCCTTTATAAACTTTGCTTTTAAAGCTTCAGTAAAGCTGAAATACTAATAGGCAGATATGAAACAAGAAACTTCATAATCTAACAGGTCAGCTCTGCACCTTCCACTTCTAATTATGCTTTCATATTGGGTATATTTTCTTGAGCCTAGAACAAAATAGAAGTTTGGCTACAGTTATAGTCTCAGATTTTGCCTGCCCATGTAGGGGTAATGAAGAAGTACTGAGTTTCAAACTTCTACATTTTGAGGCTTTCTGAAAATTCAGAACAGTCTAGAGTGCAGAAGAGTAAACGGATCAGTAATTGGGGATGTTCCATTGATGTTGTGGTGGAGAACTCAGCCAACCAAGCAACGGTATCTTTGCACACCTTTTGTTTTGTAGATTTTCTCTAATTCGTTTTTGTTGAACATGCTGGTGTTTCCTGTGTTTCGGGGGTTTTAACATTTTTAAGGCTTCCCCAGTTGTTGCAGGCTGAACAGTCTTGATGCAGGAAATTTCACTCCATTTAATTATTGTTATTTTACCTTTTAATTACTGATTTGGGTTTTGGAAAAGAAATAAGATAGAATTAAGCAAGCACGTGGGGAAACATATTTCCTGTCTTCAGGCCCAAGTTCAGGCCAACACTTTTCCACTTACCTTGTTGTCATCCCACATTGCAGTCAGTCTCTTTCAGTACCTTCAAGGAGGCAGCACAGGAGGTTGTTGTTGGTGGTTTCTTTCTGCCACTCTTTACTTGTGGCTCTTTCCCCCCACTGCTCCTTGTTTCTGCAGGTTCCCTGCTCCAGGGCAAGTCCTCCATGAGGTGCAGCCCCTTCAGGGATCTCCCTGCTCTAGCTTGGCCTGTCCATGGGTCACAGTTCCTTGGGCAGTGTTTCTGCCGCAGTTTGTGGCCCGGGGACTGTACCCAGCAGCTGCAGTTCCCTCTGAAAGGTGCCTCCTTCCATGAACACCTCTCCATCTGTCCCCTTCCCTGTGTCCTCCAGCCTTTCCCTTTGTATCTGCTTTCTGTGACTCCTCTTGAATCTCTTCTCATATGTCTCCTTCTCTGTCATGTCATGTCTCCTGTTTGTGCATCCTCACATCTCTCCTCCTATGTCTCCTTCCCTTTGTGCTCACTTCCCTTTCTTAAATATATTTAAGCAGAGATACTGTATGCATCCCTGGCTGCTTGAAGTCTATATGTACAGTATTTTTTTTCCACCTGTTTTAGTGTTGTCTGGACCTGCCTGAGCCATGTCCATCCAGTTCATGGCCTGCTGTCACACAAATCACACCTGTAACTTCCTGACATTAATGTCCAATACACTGTTACAGGGAGCAGGGTCAGAGAGGTGGCTGTTACCCGAGGTTTTTAATCAAGCCTGAAGTGTTCTTTTCCTTGTAGCATAATCTAAAAAGTGATATATAAATCACTTGTATAAATGACTTGCTTTCTCAGAATGCAGTGCTCTTCTTTAAGGTTGTTTGTGTTTCTATTTTTAGTATGCGTGATATTTGCATAGCTATATTTTAATAGAACAATTTATAGAAAAAAGAAATAAGAAGAACCTTACTGAGATCATGGGTACCCTGTTATTTGAGTTAATACTGCTTAGTTTTTTTCTTTACCAGACTTCTGTTTTGTATTTAGGATAAAACTGATAAACAATAATCCCGGTTTTTAAGTTTCTTTTTCTTATATTGACCTTTAGATGTGGTCATGTTCAGACTAATATTTTGCTTCTCTGGACAGGATTTAAGGTGTTCTAACTGGTGTTCATTTGTTTGAGACAGAGAGGTTGTTGAGCTGGTTTCTGCATGGAAGAATGCCAGAAACAAAACACAGAAAATCAATTTACCCACAGCGTGTTGAATTTAGCTATTGGGGATGAATTGAACAGTGCTGAAATTAGGGAAAAGATCTCATCTGCAGAGGGACTCTGTGAAGCCTGCTACAACAATACCTTCACAGAAAGAAAATTAAGATTTAAGTGAGGGGAAAGTGGAACAGAAAACTAGACATTAGATGAAACAGAAGGGGAAATGCACTCACTAAATTTGCCTGAAAATAGGATTTTATTTCTTACGTAGCTAGGATTCAATTACCTTCATTAGGCATTTAATGCAGAGCAGAAATGACACTGGGAAGGTATCAGAGCCTCTAAGTTGTTCACTGCAGAAGAGGAAATATCAGTGACTGCGTCAGCTTGAGGAGAACTGATGAGAAACAACGGTGTGAGATGATGGCATTTTCTCTCAATACTGTACTTAAAAGCATAAATTTAGCAACCACCTCCGAAAAAGTAGCTTACTATGGGAATCCTGTGTATTCAGTTGTACATTAGTAGACAGAAACTGAATGTGTGAGCAGCCTTTACTCTCTTAAAATGTGAATCACGGGTACACATATAATTCCTTTCATTCTGCTTGTATTTGCAATGATGGGATGAGGTCAAAGAAGTGGAAACAAAAGTCTTCTGTCTTCTCTGTGATACTGAAAGTATAGAAATATAGACAGTTGTTAAGAGTAAGAACATATAGATGAAGCTCACAGGTTCCTGCACCAGTCCACTCACTAATTCTACTCTCATTACTGTAGATTAAAAAAAAAAAAGTGAGTTTTAAACATAAAGACACAGAGTTTTATCTCTTCTTATGTTCTAGTTTTTGTTTTTCTTTCATTTTTTGCTGCTTCCCTTCAGAGGGCAGTGCATCCCCTGGGAGCATTGGTGCATGATGTGAGGAGCTGACCGGTTCCTGTTGGGAGGACGAGTAGGGCATTTTCTTTGTCCTTTGTGTTTTCCTCTGTGACTTTCCAAGCGTGTTGGTTGACATGGTTAAACTCTTAGTAAAGCATATATGAGAGAGAGGTAAATAGAGCTGTGTTCAGGGCTGTCAGTTTGCTGAAGTTAAAGATCTTCCATCATGGCATTCTGAACTATGGAGGAGATATGGAAATGGCTCTCCTGGCCTAAAATCTTTAGGTAAATGTAATAAAATCAGTGGTTCTGAGTATTTTGGGAGTCGTTGCAACTGGTAAGTAAAGGTTATCAAGTCATGAATTTCCCTGCATTTTCTGAAATTGCCCAGCTAGCTGTGGTAGCAGCGACACGCAGATCTTTACCTAATCCTCTTGCCTTTTGCAGCACTAATTGGTATCACCACTGATAGATTTAATGCCAGTTAATGGCACTATGCTCAATGAAATGCAGTTCATTGCACTGATTGATGCTGGAATGCTCTTTGCCTGCTTGGTGCTGGGGAGAACCCAATTGCTCTTCCTGGCCACGATGCAAGTTCTTTGCTTTTCTCTTGCATTGATCTGGTACAGAGCAATGCGGTTGTCAAAGAGGGCAGTATCATGATAATTTGTTAATGTGTGTGTGTATGTTTCAAATTACCTAACTGTAATTCTGATTATTTTGGCTAGGTTGTGTTTTGCATGTCTAGAATTAAACAAAATGAATGCATGTGTAGTTATTTAAAAGGAGGTAATTATGCTAGTTCCACAGTAATAAAATCTTTTCTGCCTAGTGCTAGAAAATGAAATGCTGTAGCAGAAGCAAAATGCAATAAGTTTCTAAATATAAAAATAAAAAAGTTAGTTCAAAAGCATAAGAACCTTTTCCATTATGCAATATGCAGTTCAGTTTTTATATAATTAAACGAAACAGAACACCTAGCATATGGTGAGACATGATAATTACACTTCTAAACATGCATGCTTGAATAGAAAACCTCATTAATAAAACCTCTTTGCTAAGAATACTAAAATATTTTACTGTACCTCTTAGAAAGTTGGTAACAGATGTCAATGCAGTGATTAATTCAGAAATAAGGTGCTGTAGTTAAAGGTCTGTTGAATGCTTTTGCAGTAATTATTGTAGTCTGAAGGTTTTTTTGTTTGTTTGTTTTCTCCTCAGCTCAGAACATAAGTCTGAACTCTCCTTTTTGGCTGCAATCTCCCTGGTTATGATCTTCATTCTGGTTCAAAGAAAATGCTCTCTGGTTTCAAAAATTGCTATGGCTCTTGGACTCTTGGGAGTCTACAGTTATCGGGCAGCCATTGGGAACATCGTATTTCCATGGCAACATGACAGCAAAGATATTTCAAAGTAAGTTAATCAAGGGATATTTAAAGCTATTTTTAGAAGAGTATAAACATTTTGGGTATCTTTTTGGAGAGTGGGTATTGTCTGTGTTGGAATCAGATTCCGATGAGCAAAAGAACTTTATTTTGACTGTCTTTATTTTAAAAACAGCCTGTAGTCAGTTTTTGTGGTATGTACACACCGTGGAGCCCCATGAAGCATCTTGCTTCTGTGTCAGATTAGAAACCAGACAAGTGCTGACTAATCTGTGCAAATTTAATAGTCTTTCTGTGCTTTTGCTACAAAGAAGACTCAAGTACGCCACCTCCTCCTGTTTTAGATTGACTTGCTGAATTTAGCAGACAGCCTACCAGGGTCGTTTAGCTGTTCCCTAGTTTTGAAAAATGTTTAGACAATAACTGGATGTGGGTGTTTTTCTGTGTTTTTCTTATGCAGTTGACTGTTCTGTAATGTATGCCTTTTCCAGATGTAATAAAATCCTTCCTGAGTTCTAGGCTCAGCTGCCTGATATAGACTATAGATTTTTATGAGGATGATAAATATCTTATAAAACTAGTCTCTGTAAGGGAACTAGTAGATGTTATTCATGGCTGCTTCTGGAATATATCTAAATAGCTCTCATTTTCTTAGAAGCTGTGATACTTTTCAGTATTAAATAGTGTTTGACTCTGCAGCCTCATTTTTTTTACAAGGGCCTTTTCCAAGCTTTCCAAGTTGTGGAAAGCTACCAGAATCTGTTGGGAAATTTTTTGAGGAGAAAGGGATCATGGAAGTGAGGTTGTGAAAGAGTTGTCTTCTGGATAATTTTCTCCAGCACTCATTTTGAAATGGGTATGGGTGAAAGAAGTTCTTTTGGGACTTTTTAAATGAGATGGGCAAAGATTCACAAGGGTTTAGAGGGGGAGAAAACCTCGCAGGAGAACAACTTACAACTAATTGGAGGTCACATTTGCTAGTCTGTTTCTTTTATACGTTTGTACATCTAGATATATATGTGCCCAGTCCATGTCTTCAGATATTGAGAAGTCTAGTTCTTTGCTTAGGATTAAGTTAGCATAGTTCATTAATTCTGCTAGATGTGAAAGTCTCTGGTATGTTTACATAAAGGCCAGGATTTGGCTGGATGTTTGAAAGTGTTTCTGGAAACACACCTGATTTCTGGATGTGGCCATGAGTTTTGTTTTGTGTTTGATTAAAATCTTTGGGGAAGAATGTTGTCCTTGCAATGTTCCTTGTCCCTTCTTTTAAGAAGAAAAATATTTTTAAGTGGTACAAAATATTAAAAACCTCAAATGAGCTGAAAATAAAATGCAATTAAAGAAATAAATGGAATACTTGAATATATAGAATGAGCAAAGTCTTCACTGAGAACTTCTCATACTATTTATATCATGTGCTGGCATGTTGATTGTAATTAAAACAAGAAGGATTTCATATTACTTCAGCTTAAAGTAAAAGTGAATATGGATATTTGCCTAAATAGTTGTGCCAGACCTTGGCATGTGTCTGATTTTTTGGTTATTTAAAAGTTATTCTCAAGATTCATAAACAGGGGCAAAAGCTCTGTACATACAGATATGTATATATACCAAAAAGGTCCCATTCAGCTGTTTAGGTGAGAAATGTCTCAGGGCTGGGGCTCCTTACGCTTGCCTTTTAACTCCCACATCCAGCAACGCGTTTGTCCATTTGCCCAGAGTGTTCCTTGCAGTTCAGACGTATCCACTAAGCAGCTCCGTGATGGATGGAGCAGGGCTGCTCTCACAGCTTCTGTGTGCTTTGTACCATGCCAGGAGAACCAGCCACACAGTCTTAATCCAAAAAAAAGGTCAAACTTGGTGATACTCTATATGCAACAGTAGCACAATCTAGCATGTTTGTATGCAGAGTCCTAATTGTTATGTATTGTTCTCTTTACAGCAAACTGAGGGTTTAATATTAATGCTCCCGCTTCCTTGCCAATGAGTTGCATCCTTTAAATGCTCTGTGTAAACCATTCTGGGAACATGGGCAGGGTTAGCAAAGCAGGTTCTAACCCCTTCTTTTGGCATGTCAGTAAAGACATGGCACTGCCATTCTTTTGACATGTCAGTAACAGTTATTACGTTACTCTTAAATTTGTTATATTACAAAATTTACATTAGTAAATTTCAGATATGACCTGATCTGTCAGCTTAGTGATCCTGACTCATTTTGCTTTAAGTGGCTGGCGTCATAAATGGTAAAAACATCACAAAAATGACCAAAGCCTGGACTTTACTAAATGTATCCTTAAATTAAGGTACTGGTGCTGAGTGTGTAATGAGTGCATTCGTAATTGGGTTGGAGCCAGAGCCCGCTGCAAGGTTGAAGTGATTCTGTGTGAGATAGCTTCTGTGTAAGAAAAAGCTGTTGACAGTCAGTGTTTTTCTTCTGTAAGATGGAGAATCCCTGCTCTGAAATTACCTCGTTCCCTTTTACTGAAGATAAATGTTTTCTCCAAATGTGACAACTGCTGAGAAGTGGATAAAGCAGAAGAGGCTTTTAAAGCATGTTCTTTCTTCTATGACTTCTGCTAAGATAACTTCTAAATTAAAAAATGCGAGGAAGTAATTTGGCCTTCCGCTCTCCTAAGAGTTCTCTTTTAAAATGATAGTTTGTACATTGAAAACATGAGAATATACCATGACAGTGCCAACAAAATAATGGTGGTGCTTTTGCTGAGAAATTATTTGAATTTCCATCAAGTGGGTAAGCTCAGGTTTCATATAAGCTGTTTAATAATGACAGATACCCCAAACTATTCCCTAAAGCATTACTTGTAAGCTAAATGAATATATTTGAATACTTCGCTAATAATTGCATCAAAGTTAGAAGAGATGCTCAAGTAGGACTCTTAATATCTGCACTAGCCATGCAGGAGAAGAAAAAATGACCTAATTACCTTTCTTTTATTTTTCAGTTTCTGTGAATGTACGATAAATATTGTATAATTTTTCTTGCTGAAAGTGTTCTACCTGGTAGGCAGTCCTGGGAGGTTGTGTTACATTAAAGTTGAATGCCAAGTTTGCTTAGCAATTATATTGTTAAATGGAAATACTTGTGAGTGCCTGAGCAGAGGCAAGCAGAATCCTGCATCATGTTTTCTGCATCTCACATAAGGAGAATGTTTCTTTCCTCTCTCTCTTGTTTTTTTCCATCCAAAGAGGGGCATTTTCATGGATGAAACTTCTATTGTCAAGGAAACACAGGAGCCCTTTAACCCCCTTTCAGAGTTTACAGAGGCTTGTTTCCTAAGGGAACAAAACAATAAACCCTTTTCCATAAAGTGTTAGATCTTGAACCTGGTTATTGTGCAAGCGATGGAAAAATGGGTCTGAGTCTCAAGTTTTTACACACATATTCTTCCAGGACATAATACCTGCATGTCAATCCATATATTAAGCCACACTTTGGGAGGTGCTTTGCAAAAACATCAGTAAATACTCTGGAAAAGGTGAAAAAGCTACCAGTTGAATATCTTTGATAAAAAAAATGATACTGAAATATGAGCCTGAAACAGTTTTTATAGTGTCTAAGTAATTGCTTTGTAGCTAAGAGGAAATTAATGGAAGGATGTATCCTATCTCTTACATGAAATGGACATAGGATAGGAAATATACTTTTGAAATGGAGTATGCCAGTATATGAGTAATGCTCCTACTTATTTTATTTTCACACTGGCTTATCTAAACAATGACACCCACAGCTTGCTTTGAAACCAAGGAATAGAGCATCATATTGATATTTAAGAAGACCATATCATTATCATGTGGTGGTTTTGCCTTTTTTCTTGATTCTGCTGGGGCAAGATAGGAAGCTCAACCTGCAAATACAATTACTCCTTATTTCCATTTTTGCTTTGCTCTTCTCTTCCTGGGATGTGAAAAAGGAAGATTGAATTCAAGGTCATTTGTTAGCAATTGCTTACGACGCAAGTTTACCTTGCAGAGACTCAAAAATTTTATCAGTATAAAAAATATTTTAAGAAATTTTCAGTGGTGGTGTTATCTGTGGACTGCTTTCCCAGAAATAATCACTTCTATACTGTTTTTGATTTTGTAGTCTAATACCCCATATATTGGGTCTAAGTGGCTCAAGAATTCTTACTTCTGAGGCAATGCCCTTCTAAGAAAATGTGCTTCATTCAGTGCTTGGGTACAAGGTGACTAATAATCATTAGGAATAATGTATTTTAGTTTGTGTATAAGGTGGATAAATAAGATAAGGATAAGCTCTCTTTTCCAAGATAAAAATACGTTTAAACAATTGAATTTTTAATATCCTCATTTGATGACTTTATTGAATTATTATAATTTAGCTCATTCTGAAGTGATTTGTGATTTTTTTGCACAGTAAATACAAGAATATCAATGACCTCTTAATGAAAAACATTTTTGTGTCTTGGCACTGACTCTTCTAGAAGGGCAGCTTTTAGTTTTCGAGACTCTTTGTACTTGTATTTGTCAATTTTTTAAATAAGATACTGTGGCTTCCCAGGAAGCTCACTTTTATTGGAAATGGAGAGGCTTATCAATTTTCAGGTACAATTAACAGAGCAGTAGATGCCAATTGCAGTTACTGCTTAAAATACTTGCTTTGCTTAGGGATTTGAAAATTGTAGAGAGTTAAGATTACAGAGAGTAAAAGTGACTGGTTGCTGGTTTATGGTAAATCTCTGCAGTTGTGTTAGGTGGGATGTTTGAGATCTGCAGGATTTTCAGACTGAAATAAGGATCTTCCAAAATTATCACTTTTTGTTTTCGTTGAGCTAGAAAGGAAAACATGTTTGTGTGAATGAGTTCTGAAAAATCTCTCTTAAAAGGAACATTGATTTTCAGATCAATTTGTATCATTTTGCATACACACATTTTGGGGGCAGTTCATTATGCTATATAAATGGCATATTTATGTGAATATGTTTATGAAGCTAGACCACAAATAGTAGTAGCAGTATTTTTGGTTGATTGGTATTTAATGATTTAATGTTGAATGATACTTAATGATGTTGAGCTCTAATAGTTTTCAGCACAGTTTTCTTAGCTAACATTGCTTTGGGGATGCTCTGATTCACGTGTGAAACATTATAAAAGCTTTTATATCTGAAAAAGCTTTCTGAGTAGCCTTAGAATTTGACCTGTTTTGGCAGAATTGTGTCTGTATTGTACCTCAGTATTGAAGAAGACTTTTTTGACCTGTGAAGCACAATACAAATAACAACTTATGTTTCTGTTTTCTTTCTTTTTTTTTCTCCTTTTCAGGGGCATTACCGAGGCTCGTTTTGTTTATGTCTTTGTTCTTGGCATAGTCTTCACTGGCACGAAGGATCTGCTGAAGTCGCAGGTTATTTCTGCAGACTGCGGAGTGAGGAGCACGGGGCTGTGGGAGGTGTACAGCGGCCTGGTGCTGCTGGCAGCCCTCCTGCTCAGGCCCCACAACTTGCCAGTCCTGGTGTTCTGTTTGCTCATTCAGACCATGATGACCAAATACATCTGGAGACCTCTGAAATTCGACGCAGCGCAGATCACCATCATGCACTACTGGTTTGGACAGGCTTTCTTCTACTTTCAGGTAAGCTGCTTTGGGCAGAAGGGAGGAATATCTACGTGATGAATTTCATTACAATTGATGGGGCAGTTGGCTGTGGTGTTAAAATGATATTGGAACTACTCCTACAATATCACACCTAATTTTTGACTTCCAGGAAGCTGGAACAAATGAAAAACAAAAAATAATGAAGTGGTGCTGACATACTATTCAGCATTTCATAGATGAAGATGAAATATAAAAATTAATATATATCAGAAGAACAGAACAGTTTCTGGTGATCAAGGTTTTTTGTGATGTTTCTGTCACTGAGCAATTGCGAAAAGGCTCAGAGAGGAAGAGAATTTTCAAAATATTTAGAAGAAGTGTAGCCCATAGAAAATATTTAGGGTGGGTTTTGAATAAGGAGCTTTTGCATCTGTCTGCTGAATAACAGACTGGCTGAGTCGGGCAGGCACCTCTGGGGATCATCTGGTCCCACAGGAGGGTCAGGCAGAGCAGCCCCGGGATGTTACAGCAGAAACCTCCTTGTGAACGAGCACTGTGCATTGGATATTGGGTGTATGGTCCCTTTGCCATCAGGCCAGCGTGGAGAATGGATAGAAAATAAGTATATTTGGAACTAAGACATCTGTGGTGGAGATGTATTTGGGACTGGTGAAACGATTTTATATCTGCTGCAATCTGAGACCTGCAAAGGGTTTAAGAAAACATTGGGGAAGTAGTTCACAGAACTATGGGGAAACATACTCAACCACTTCAGAGACAACTGTTGAAGTTCTACACCAGTGTGTTCTATACCAATTAAACCCATTTTTTTTTAAAGTTTTAGTGGTTTTGTACTGCTGTTATTGCAATATAAAGAAATATATTTAAAATTCTATGCTTATATTTAGTAACTAATTCTTTGCACTTTACCCTTTCAGTTGAGTGGCTTCTTGATTTTTAGCAGAGTTGAGGCAGTGATTTCTATGCTGTTTGGTACTGTTAGATATTGTGTTTGCAGAGGTTTCTTCTGCCACCCTGGCTGGTAGTTTTGACATTTCTTCCTGTTGTTTCTTTTGGAAATAATATAATCCAAAAGGATACAGATTTCAGCAAACCTGAGGATGTTTCAAAAATTAGTTCTGACAAAGGGAGCCTCTGTGTACACAGATTCCCAGCATTGAAAGCTTAGAGAGGAGAAATTCACCATTAATTGATTGAGACTCTGACTGCTTCACTATTCTTTGTGCTTCTCCTGTTACTCAGAGATTTAGAGAATGAAGGGTAGTAGTTCCTTATCAAAGATTTTTGGAGAAACAGACCAAAACTGCCTGCATCTTCTTCTTTTTCTTTTATTATTATTATATTTTTTCCTGGATTGGTTTATTATAAAGTCTGAAATGTGGAAGAAAATAGAACTGAGTGAGGAGCCATCTTTTTTGTGTCACCTGAGAGATGTGAAAAATCCATCTTTGAAGTGATTCTTCTGAATTTAGTAATAAATGCTTAGTTTGTCATAATTCTTTTCTCTTTAGCACAGAGTCTTTAAAATGTTTCTCTCTCAGAAGATCTTGCAAACAGCCCCTTACAGTTCTTTTTGGCTGTATTCTCTTAAAGCCAAGATGGCCAAGAGAGAATTAAATGCTGAAGAAATTGCAGTAAAATAGGAGCATTTTTAGAACGAACAGCTTTGATTAGAGGCTCTTTAATACTGGAAGTGCTTTAGAAATAAAGAAAGCAAATCTGATAATGGAAAAAAGACCTTTAAAAGATATATGTACTTCTCCGTTACCTATTCCTTTTAAAAAGGATAATTTTTCATCCTTTTAAAAATACTGTAATTACATTTAGATTAGATCTCATTTCTAGCATGAAGATGAAAAGTCTGACCAAAGTTCCTCTTCAGGTGTTAGCTTGGTTCATTTATTTTCTGATGAAGACGTTTTTTTAAGCAGTGGAAGGGAAATTTTTGAGTCATATAAGGCTAAGAGGGCTATTTTTGCACCTTAACAAATGAAAGCAATTATGTAGAAAATACTTCTTGAGAAATGCAAAATGGGCATGCTGGTAACTTACAAAATTTAGGAGCCTCCAAACCTAGTTATAGCTCCCTTTTTAATTAGTGAATGCATTGTAATTAGTTTTAAGACTAATTCTGCAAAGACTGCAGATCTAGAAATGGAAGAACTTTTCCAACAGTTACGTTTTATTTAATGCTCTTCATGTGCAGGTTTGCTCAGTGTGTAGTATCCTTATCTGCGTTACTGGGGAAAACTAAAGATGTGGATAGCTATAAAGACAACTTATTTGGGTTTTTGTTTTTTTTCATTAAGTATATTTAAATTTCTCCTTCCCCCTTCCTTTGACTTCAGAGGGCAAGTGGGCAAACTAGACTCACGTGCCCCCACTTTTCATTGTGTGACTTATTGTATTAGTGAGTAAATCACTTAATCTTATTCCTTTTGCCTTTGAGGAAAGGAAGGAAATCTTTCTTGATGAAAGATTCGTCTTGTTTTTTTACCATCCAGGTCCCCTCCTTCCTCCTACACCTTCCAGTGAAGGTCTTGAGTAAATTGGAGGTGCCCCAGATTTAGCATCTACCTGTCTTGGCGTGTGACCATCAGCAGCAAGCTCTCAGATTTTGACTGACTTGGAAAGGGTTGTACGTGAGGTGCAGAATAACGTGTCATTCATTCTCATAAAAAACACCCCAAAATAAATGCTGAGTAAGAACACTGTCTTCTTTTTGTTGGAGAAGACCATCAAGTTCAGCAGCTTCTGAGGAGCCTGCCATCGTGCCGGCTACTTTTTATTTTACCTCCTCTGAGGTGCATGCTCTTCATAAACGCCCATGTTCCGTTCTTGGGTGCTTGGTGTGCACTGCTGGCACATGTTTAAATATCTTTCCTGACATTTTTTCCTACCTTTCCTCCCTTTTTCCCTAACCTTTCCCTTCATTACAAGAGCTAGTACTAATGAACCGTCTTGATTCAGAGTGGTGCTAGGCTTTTAATCTCTCAACAAACATAAAGGTCCAACGTAGCATACAAAATATTATTAAGTTTCTGGCTGAAACAAAGAAATTGAAAAACACTGAACCTTGCTGTCAGCGTAGACTGTTAAATTGGATACTAATTTTACACTGTGCTAATAACTATATGAGGCAGGAGAAGAAAAATATAAACTAAATATAAACCCCCTCCATCTGGTAATAGAGCATAGATTTGGAGAACTATTTTTGCACATGTCCTGCTGTGGTTATGAGGTAAATGAGAGTTCTTGACCGTGTTGCTGGGTCTTTATTAAATCTTGGTTGGCAAGACAATGCTTAATGACAAAAGCAGGAACTCGGTCTCGCTGAGCAGGGAGTGTAAGTGATGGCCTTTAGAATTTGATAGTGAGTAAAAATAGCTTCATTCAGGATTGCATATTTAACAAATGAGGCAGAGTTCTTTTGAGAAGATTTGCAATGTCCTTAAGGACTTCGTGCAGTCTTGATGATGACATTCCTAACTATTCAGAGTAAACACTGCTCATAGGAAGAGTTACTGTTTTTCATTAGATTGGTACTAGAAAAAAAAAGATTGATACAGATTGATAGTTGAAGAAAGTCGTGGAAAAACATAGGTCCTGAGTGTGGAAGTTAATATTTTCATCTTGAGCAATGTAAGTTGTGTAAGTTAAATACAGGCTAAAAAACCTATCTGGAATTTGTATCTGTTCCCGCATCCTGCAGTTTGTCTGTGTGCCCCTGCAGAAGCCCTTGGGCCCTGCCCAAGTGAAGCCCCAGTTTTCTCTGAGCAGTCACCTACCCGCTGTAGCTAATACACCATGCTTCTACTTAGGCTAATAAGTAAAGTACCTGTTTTACAGCAGAGCACAGTGTTCTCCAGCTCACCTGCTGCCGAGCTCAAGTGTTCCACAAGCAGTGTAGTCGTATCCAGTTTTTCTCCAGAGTGGCTCCCTGCCTTCTCTCATTTGCCTCTGCTGCCTAGTTACCAGCTGTTTCCTCAGGCTTTCTAACCAGTTCATGTAACATTTTTATGTGCAGCGGTTCTTCTCAACTTGTGTTTAGAAGAGTGTTTGTGCTTGACCCTCTTGACTGTGACAGTGAGATGTCAACTGTCTCCAAGTCCTTTTCTTGCTTGGAAACCTTTCTCACGACAGGACGGAATGAGGCTTCGGATGGAGAATTTTGCTTGTCACGTATTTTGGTTGCTGGAGCCTTTGTTTTTCAGTTGTGGCTGCTTCTAACTTGACGTGTTTATGCAAATATGTGTCACACTGCAGTGATGGGGCTGTGTGCTCTGCAGCTAGTGTCACCAGCTGCCTACATGCCTTGCGTTTCATTTGCCTCTTGCTCCTCTGCACAGTGCAAGATGGGAAGCAGAATCCCCTGTCGCTGCAACATTGGATGCATGGGGAATGCACACAACCTGCACCTCGTGTGCGGGCGCGATTGCTTAGTGTGTGAAAGGAATGGGAATGGGCAAACCTAAAGCCGCCCAGCTGCTCTACTGTTCCACTGAAAATTGGCAAAAAAGGGCCCAGAGGCCCAGACTTGGGAGTAACAGAGAATAACGAAGAATAATAAAGGGGCTAAAGGGGAGACATCCATGCGGAGAGGTGGTTTTGTGCATCAGTTGTGCGGTGTGAGAAGCTTATAGTGGTCAGCAAGATGATTTGGGAGCACAATAGACCCAAGCTGCAAGGCTGATGTGCCTTGTACGCAGGGTGAGGCCTCAGCTCATAGAGGAACTACCAGGAGGACTCTCTTATGCCCTAGCAAGCCTGCTTCAAACCTGGAGGATTGTTGTAGCTACAAAGATATTTATGGTCAGAAAAGCAGGGGTTGCCCAGAGTTGATGAACAGCCTCCATCCTTGGAGATTTTCAAACACGACCAGGTAAAGTCCTGAGCAACCTGTATCACCTCGTACAGCCGACCTGGCTTTGACAAAGAAGTTGGAATAGAAGTCTTCAAACCTTCCTTCCAACCTGAATTATCCTATGATGCCATGGTCCTCTGTTATTCATGTGAAGTCTGGGAAAACAGGTAGTTTTTTAGTCTAGCTTTGCTTTATTATTGCTCTGAATACAGATATTCAGCAATCATAGAAGTAAATATCTTGGTTTCTTGATTGCCTCCCCTAACAATATTGGCCTGAAGCTTTATGCTGATGATAATTATTTGTAAGATATTTTAGTTACTTTAAATGAAAACAAATAAATTAACAGCAACAAAAAGCCTTCCAGTGTTCCATGTGTCTTCTGCAGCTTCACCTGCCTAGTGTCTTTGTTTTCCCAGCCTTAGAGCAGTGCACCTGAAGAGGAAAAAAAAACATAGCCTTAAGATTTTTAAGAGTTTCTTGTTCTTTTTGATATTTTTCTGTTGTTGGAGAACAGCTAAGGCTTGTGTATTTTTAGAATAATTTCCTCCTAGTTGATTTAAGATAGAGAGATGGACTGGATGACATTTTAAAATGATTTATAGCTCTATTTTGCTATGATTTTAAAGCATCATAGAATAATTTAGGTGCAAGGGAACTGCTCACAGCAGGGTCAGTCATGAGGTCAGACCGGTTGCTTAGAGCTTTATTCATTTTGGTATCAAAGCCTCCAAGGGTGGATATTTCACAGACTCTGCAGGCAGCCTGTTCCAATGCTTGCCTGTCATTACTTTTTCACCTTAAATTATTTGGTTCAAGTAGCTAAAACTATTTCCTTCTTCTGTGTTTGTTGATAGTGTTCCAGTTCATAGAAAGGCATACACTTATGAGAAGGGAACACTGAAAGATCAGTAGCATTTTGCTTTGCTGTGGGTATTTAAACAAGCCAGAAGCTTGCCAGTCTTGTGTTGCATCTCCCAAGTCCCTAAATGTCAGGAAGATACTTAAGTTAATATCTCGCATTTATGAGCGATGTGATTGGAAAGAAGTCCAGAGGATTTGGGGTTATGTTTGTTCTTGTCTATGGAAGGATTATTTTCAGTTATTTTAGCAAGTGTCTCTGGTACACTGGTAGTTTTGGTAGTGACTCTTTTTGCTGTTGTGCTTTATTGGTCCAGGTCACGATGGGTTACCATTGAATGGCTTTGTGCAATGCTGGATTGTCTCCTGTCGCTTCCAGCCATTACCAAAATAGGCTGTTGCACTGCTGGAAATATTTGAGTGATTCTCAATCTGCTCCCCTTAGACCTCCTGAAGAGGTCTGCCTTTTCCTGCAGTCTATCTTGAAGTTTTATTTTTCAGTCTTATGTTCCAGGCACAGATATTCTTTACTTCTGGCTCCTGCTCTTTAGTTCCTGTCGTTGCTAAGTGTTATGCTGGATGCATAGTAGTAACTTACTGCAGTGCTGGATGGCAAAGGCCGAAATAAGGACAACTGGATAGTCATAAGTCAATATTTTACTGCTATATGATGTGCTGGCAAAATGCATCTCCTGCTGCCCTTGTTCAGTTACAGGATCGCATTACATTCCGGCAGGATCTTCATACTGGGATTCATGAGGTCTGTAACCAGTGGCAGTTTGGTCTAACTCATTCTGTCAACAGGAATCCCTTTTTTCGTTCAGTTTTAGAGTTACTTCACAGGCAGTTTTGCTGTTCCTGAGGAATGCTCCCGTACGAGCCTGCGAGGAGCCCTTGCAGCAGAGGAGGTTGGTGGTAGCCTGGGTGCATCAGGCAGAGCGGTGCCAGAAGGAGGTGGAGGGAGGACCTTCATTTCTGCTCAGGCCACACTGACTGTGTGGGGTGACACAGACGTACTGGAGCCAGGGGATGTAGGATGAGGATGGGAGTGGAGCATCTGAGACAGGTGAGACAGTGGGAACTGCTTGCCCTCGGTGAAAAGGACGCTTGGGGGATCTTGTCAATGTGCATAAATATCTGAAAGGAGGTTACAAATAAGACAAGGTCAGAGTATTTTCAGTGGTGCTCGGAGAACTTCTAGAGAGGGTCCATGGTAGAGCAATAAAGTTGGTTAAGGAAGTGGAACATCTCTCATATGAGGAAAGACTACATGAGCTGGGCCTGTTTAGCCTGGAGAAGAGAAGACTAAGAGTATGTACAAATACCTGAAGGGGGAATGTGGGGAGGAAGGGGCCAAGCTCTTCACAGTGGTGGCCAGTGACAGGACAAGGGGCAATGGGTACCAGTTGTAACCCAGGCAGTTCCATCTCCATGTGAGGAGGAACTTCTTCCCTGTGAGGGTGCCCGAGCCCTGGCACAGGCTGCCCAGGGAGGCTGTGGAGTCTCCTGCTCTGGAGATCTTCCCAACCCGCCTGGATGCTGCCCTGTGCTCTGGGTGTCCCTGCTGGAGCAGGGGTTGGACTGGATGAGCTCTAGGGGTGCCTTCCAACCTCAATGACTCTGTGATTCTGTGAGTAAGCAACAGGAATCAATTGAAACATAGGAAGGTCCATCTGAATCGAAGGAAAGGCATTTTTACTGTGAAAGTGATCAAGGACTTGAACAAGTTGCCAAGTGTGACTGTGTAGTCTCCTTCCTTGGAGACGTTCAGAAGATGCCAAGACAGGTTCCTGGGCAATGTGCTGACCTTGGTTGAGCAGGGAGCTTGGACCACATTGTCTCCTGAGATCCCTTCTGGTCTTAACCCCTCTGCCATTCTGTGTGGTTTCAGTGCAGTCTGTTGTGATGTAATTTTCCAAGAAACTTGGGAAACAGAAATCTCTCTCTCTCTCTCTCTAGAATTACAAGCGTTGTTTGAGTAACTTGTGTCCTGGGGGAAGGAGACAGGGACATGTTCCACACGAGGTCTGAATTACAGCGCTGCTGTCTCTAAGGGCAAGAAGTATTTATTTCCCTGGTGTCTGGTGTAGCTTTAGGCCCCAGGCTGATTGTCTTGTTTTGAATTATATGCAATGAAAAATGCAGGTTTTTTTTTTTCCATCGTTAGAACAAAAATCAGCAAGTGCTGCTGCTTGCTTAAAGTCTTTTTGTGATGTAATTTATTGAACAACAAGTGAGTGTTTGAAGACAAAAAAAGGACAAAGAAGAGATCATGGTGTGTATGCCTTCATTAGTCCGCAAATCCAAAACAGCTCTTGCTTAGGGAGCTTCTTTATTGAAATCCAACTGCAAAGAATATGGCTGTACTATAAAGAGACTCAGATTAAGCCTTTAACCAGCATAATAATTAATCTTACTGTAATGTATCTTAGCTGTTGCCTTGGAGATATCTAAATGTTTCTTTTATTACTCTTTTCAGGGAAATTCGAATGGCATTGCTACTGTGGATGTTTCAGCAGGTTTTGTGGGACTGGACAGTTATGTGGAGATACCCGCGATCTTCCTGACAGCGTTTGCCACATATGCAGGACCTCTGCTTTGGGCCATCCACCTGCTCTGCTATCTAAGCTCTGAAGTTAGCAGGTAATCATGTGTAGAGCTAAACTAAGGCTCCTCTATCTATTTCAAGCACCAATGTGGTTTTCTTCACAGATTTTTCTCCCTGAAAGATAATTTTCCATGGAGAAAATACCAGTGCTTTTTTTGATATGGGTTTATATTGCCCCACTGTTTATGTTTCATTTTATCTGCAGAAGTTTTGCTCTGGGAGATACGTGTATGTTTTGCTACTTCTGTTTTTTTAATGGCTTCTGAGTCTGCTGTACTGTTACTGTGGTGTATTGTAACAAGGAAAAATATTAGCATGATGCCTGAAAGTATTCTTCGTGATATGTATTAAATATAAGACCTGAGATTGACTTTTCTTAGCAATGGAACAGAATTTAAATTTAACTGATGTGCTGTCCTTTGTGAACAGCTGTGATTGCTTGTGGCACAGAGGCACACAACATTCTGTTCAAAAGAACAAATTTATCTTACAGTATAGGCAATCCATTATTGCAGGCATTTGTAGCTAAAATATTTGTACATTTGGACCTTTGGGTGTTGTAGGCCAAAGGTGTGTTAAAGTGTGTAAAATGAATTGCTATATTTACAATTTTAGGAAGAAACAGTAGGAAAAATGTTCATATAACCTGGAGTGTGTGTGTAAACAGAACACTTTGATCTTGCAAGTTTAATTCATCATCCGTGGCACTATTGCTGAGAGAAGCAGTGTGCTGAAAGAGATAGGAGCTGCACATTCAGTAGTCTGCCGTATCAGTCCACAAACGTAAAACACTGATATATTTTCAGTGAAATTACCTGTTTCAGTGGCTGAATTTTTACCGTCTTAGAACTTTCACTAGTCTGCTACAAGTATTTTCTTTATTATCTGTGGAAACTAAGGTTACCATAATCTTTTTTTTTTTTTTTAATGAGAAGCAAAACATTTTCAGAAGATGTGGCAGGTGAGATTTTAGGCATTGTCTAGGCCTGTTTAGCTTATCATAGCTCTTTGCCTTTCGCGTTATCATACCTTGTAGACACATTTGGTTCCTGTTTATCTATAAAGCCTCATGCCTCACGTGCTTTTTTTTTCCTACCTTCTCTTTTCTCCGCTTCCCTGTTCATCTTTGGCTATAACTGATGATGACTTAATGTTGGAGAGTATGTGTTTACCAAAGGCTCAAAAAGGTGGGATCCCCAGAAGACCTGCATACAGTAATGGAGGTTTTCATGCCAAAAAAGACCTGTTCTAACAGGATAAATTCCTGCAAATCCATTGTGACTAATGCTCCTTATTAACAGGCTGTAGGGACTGCTCCTTATTCTCTGATTTGCTTCATCTGCCAAATTGCCCTGTAGAGACACCAAACTCTCTGCACTTGATTCCAGTGGAGCTCTGTGCTCGGCCATAGCACTGGGCCAGTAAAGCACTCCTGTAGGCTGGGAACGTCACCTCCTGAGCTAAAGCCAGTTGTTCTGAAACCGTCTTTGATCTTACCTAGACACTGTCTAAGTAGTGATCTTTATGTATAATACCTCTGAAATCCAGACTTTGATCTGTTCATTCTCGTATCTTTGGCTTTAAGTGGAGTGCATGTGGAATACACAAACTATTGATATTTGGATGTATATAACCACAGAAAGCCTTTTCTGGAATGATCCATGCTGCCTCATGTCGTGACACCAAACGCGTTTTCATCTCTCCGTTTTAGCTTTAGTTACTGCTTTGCTCCATCTGCCAGTCATCTTCCAAAGTCTTCAAACTTTCTGCTTTCTGTCAACTCTCTTTTAAAAAAACAGTGTCTCTTTTCACAGCAAAGCCCCTTCCTCTTGGCTTCCAGTAAATGTGATCCAGTGCCCTGGTTATCCCTCCCTTTTTATTAATCTTTTGTTTTTCACAGTGAGTTCCTTTATTCCTCTTTCCAGCTCTACCACAACCTGTTTAGGACTACATGATGATTCTATGTGTCACATTCATGTTCCTGTGTTTTCTTAACTGTCCCACTCTCCATCACTCATTATTGCACTGCAGATCTTTGCGTTTAGCTTTTTGCTTGTGCTTAGAGGAGTGCAAGCACAGTGGTGTAGGTGCAGTACCACTGTGCGGGGAAGGGAGTCAATACAAGCTACCTCATACTTTAAAGGGCTGAGATTTCGATTTTACTGAAACCCCAGATGGTAGACTATGATTAGCATACATTTAGGAACTTACAATTAAGAGAAAACAACACCATACAGCATATTTTTAAAGCTGTTACAACAAAGTAATCGATTTATGTAAGCTATTCTAACAATAATTAAAATCTTTTTTGTAACAACATCTTTAAGGATCTGTACATATTTAGTATTTTTTCAAATAATGTGTCTCTTGAGCAATATTGATTATTCTCCTCGTGTTTTCTTGTTTGAGTTATTGCAGACTGCAGGCTCAGATAGCAGTTTCAAGGTGCAGTGCTGGTTTGAACTGCTCTCCAGTGGGCAGCTGTGACCTGAAACACTCACACTACTTACATAAGTAGATCCCATTGAGCAGCTTGTGTCCACAGACAATTTAAGATTTATTTGGGTCAGCTGATAAGGTGGTTTCCTCTGTTCTAAATAACTCTGGACTAGGATCTTTCCAACCTCTGGGGCTTGTTTAAATTGAGTTTTTTTAGTGCTTGGAGCTTTGGTGTGCACACCTTTCATCTTACCCTTGTGTTTATTGTTGCTGGGTCTCTGGTTGTGTCCTGTCTTTGCTTTTATTGCTTGGATGCAAAGCTGAAACTGCAGGAGCCGTAGATCAGATGCATCAAGTGATTTCTTATGGGAAACTTGAGTTTGTAAAAGAGCAGTTTTAAAGAGTTTATATATACTTTAAAGAGTTCATAAAACCCTTTTCCTAACCCTTTTATAAGCAGTGTACATTAGTCAGTGACGTTCAAACCTTTCCTCTTCTTTTCTTTCTTTATTTTTTTAATGAGGTCCTGGGCATAAGATGAAGCTTCTTTCCCATCCCATTACTCTGAATAGGAGTAAGCAAAGCCATGTGTTTGTTGTGCATGTGGAGCAGGGCTGTGAGGTTGCTGTAGGATGCCCAATCCATCATGATGCAGCCACAGCTGAAAAGATAGCACCAGAACTGCACAAATGTGACATTTGTAGCCCAAATTCTGGCGTCCAAATTTTATCCATTTTGGTGCAGTTGGCATTTGTGAGCAGAGCTTCTTGCTTCTCTTCTTGGGAGCACACACTTAATGGGCAAGCACCCTTTCCTCTCTGTGCCCTCTGCTTCCATGGAATCAGGCTTGCTCTGGAGATCATGGAGTCCAACCTTCCTGCCCAAAGAACGGTCAAGCAGAGCAGGCTGGTCAGATCCATATCCAGGTGGGTCTTCAGTATTTCCAAGGATAAAGGAGACTCCAGTCTCCAATCTGTGGGTCGTCGGCCAGTCGTACTGGTCTAAGTCTTGTTTTAAGTCCCGCAGGTCTTAACGCTGAAGGTGCAATTCAGCGTTTTTTTCTGAACCCATCGTTATTTTACATAAGGAGTTGTTAATTCCTTTCTTTCCACCCCTCACCCCAATCATGAGTTGATTAAAAAAATAAAGTTTTGTTTGTAATTAAGAACATACTGTTGCTAGTTTCTGTGGAATAGTAATGCCTTCTGTCAGTTGTGTTTACCAGAAAACTAGTACTCTGGTTAAAATAAAACATGCAGAAAAATAAAACATACAGAAAAAATAAAAATAAAATGTACAGAAAAATAAAACACACAGAATATTTTTTAAAATAAAACATACCGCAGATATTATCATTCTGTTCCTTCACATGGTGGGAAGTCTGGAATTGATTTGAATTGGAATGGGATTTTAGCTGGCAGAATATTAAATTCATTTTGTACCTCCTGAGGTCTTTGTAAATGTTGGGGGAAGTTGTGAGCATAGCGTTTATAAATATAGATTATCTTTGCTTTACACAGATAGCGGTAAGCACCGAAGGAGGTCTGGAACTTAAAACACTTGAAACTTACTGTTTTTGGTAGTGTTGGCATATCTATTGTAAAGTTTATTTTCAAGTGACAACCCTAATCAAGTGACAGCCCTAAGTGTGTTTGCTGCTGCCCAAAGACTTTGCAGGAGTAGTCCAGGCAGCTTTAAATGGTCTTGTTAATGCTACGTAGTGCCATTGCTACAAGATTACTACTGATAAAACTGATAGCTTAAAAAGGAAACACTTTAAGTAAGTATGGAAGGCATGTTTTTTGGTTAGCAAGTACCCTTTTGCTTTGTAGACAGTCTTAAACTGAATGTGAAGAGTTTTGAGATGATGTTTTTGGTTTCTGCCACTGTTCTGTTCCTATTTTTTAAAGTTTTACTGCTCTTTTCCTTTGTTTTTTTGGTGTCCATTTAGCCCATAGAAGTATGCTCAATAGTGGCCAGACAGCCTTGCAGCTTTTGGTGCATCTGCAGGGCTGTGAGCGGCTGCTTGGTCTACTCAGGGTGCAGTTGCTCAGTGCTGGATTGCTGTAAAAAAGCTGCAGTTTTTGACTTCTTCTCTTGTCTGGAAACTCTCCATCCTGAGACAATGAGGGTTTTTTTGGCATTATGTGCAGCTAGCTTTGCCAAATATTGCTTACATAAAGTAGTTTATTAAACATAATATAGACATAAGTTTTTTGGATCAATGAGCAGAACAAACACCTGTGATACTTGGACTTCTTCAGGCAGAAATTTGGGGGCCTACTGATGAATAAACCGGTGTTTATTCAAAGAATACTGTTACCTAGACAAGATGTGTGTTGTAGAAGAACAGGGAGAGGCTATGAAAGATTTTCGAAGAAATGAAGAAATGAACACTCTTCTTAATTATGCTTTCAGCAAAAACTTAAACAAGTAGCCCCCTTCAAGGAGTCTGCCTGATTGTTTCAGGACTGAGGAATTCAAAAATGTTCATACACAGATAATAGGATTGGTGGTGGACACCAGGACAGCGGCCTCTTCTGATGTAAAGCATATATCTGTCCTTGGCTTTGGGGTAGTTTGCTAAAATAGTGTC